CCTAGTTCCTATGTCATTTGCCACCCTACTTTATTCCTCAACTTCTGCTTCCCCAGGTTAGCTCCAGATATGGCTTTTCTTCCAGGCTTAAAATTGCCATCATATTTTCTCTTATCCTCTTTTCTACCTATGACAGCCACTCATTGGGCAAATTATTTGCAGAGTTCATCTCAAGATATCTCAAACCTGTCCCTATGGTCTCATGCTTTATTCTGTAATCATTGCCCAAGCCTGTGTTCCCTCAAAGGTAGATTATTGTAGTAATTCACTAACTCTTGTCTCAAGTGCCAATCTCTCCCTTGCCTTTTCCTTTTCTGATTGATCCCATATATAAGTGCCAGACAGATGCCTAAATTACAGCATTTATAGCACTATTCCTTAGTTCCAGAACCTTTAGTGACTCTATTTTCTATAAAATCAAGTATGAATTTTCCAGCCTGGAATTTTATCACTTGGATATTTCATTTCAAAGCTAATGGTTCAATCAGTCTTCTATGCATACCACCCCTCTCTCTGTTCTTTTCTTCTTCCTTCTTCTTTTTCTTCCTCTTCCTTATTCTTCATGTCTTCCCCCACTGTAATATTGCAGCCCACCTGTGTGTCCACAAGCCATCCTAGTTCAGTACCTCGCTATGGCCATACTTCTCTCCTGTGTGTGTCCTCTCCATCCCTCACCTATCTTTTCTGGTGGAAAACCAATTTGCCCTTCAAAGTCCTTTCTCAAATGCCAGCACCTGATCCCAACTTCACTTTGTGACCCTGTACCCTCTTCCCCTGAACCATATCAGGTACCTCTGCTTTGAAAGTGGCATATCAGTATTTAAGAACTCCTGCTCTGGAGTGCAATAAATTCCCATTTGAGTACTGATTCTGCCTTATGTGAGTGAAATTACAGTGGACAGATTCTTAACCTCTCTTAGCATTAATTTACTTCCCTCTAAAAAGGAAGCACTCCAAAGTGCTTATACATTCAATATGAATTCATGCTATAATACCCAGAAGCCAATTAGTATATTGCCTCCCAAATAATAGATTGCATTCATTGACAGTGTACTACTGTACCTACTACAATAGGCTGACCATCCATAAATCTGAAATCTATAATACCCCAAAGTCTGAAACTTTTTGAGTGTCAGCGTGATGTATTTATTAGTCAGTGCGTACAAGAGCTTTCAGGGCTAGGACAAGGCTCCTCAAAAGACTGTCCATGCTCTGCATCAGATTTAATGCAGGACACATTTAATGCAGGCCTACAGTGGCCACCCACCGAGTCAAATGTAGAAGACTGCAAAAGATCTCTAGATATCCAAAGGATTCAGCCAAAGGCCTGGAGCCCACAGCAATGTCCCATAGGAGTCTGCATGAGGAGGTCAGAGGACCCTAGATGGAAGTGAGGGACCTGCACTGGGAAGAAGAAGGGTTTACCTTAGAAGCTGGAGAGTGCACCACCAGGCCGAAAAGCTGGTGCTGGAACCTGAAGAATCTGCACCAAAAGCCAGGAGAAGGCTTCTATTGTATTTTTCTGCCTCAAGCTTCAAGTCTTTTTTTCTGGCTTGAAACCAACTGGAGCTTATATTGTCTAGCTCGACTGGAGTAGCCATTTGTAATGATGGTCTTATTTCAACCATTGATTTTGTCACTTCACCCATGGTTTTGACGTGAGTTCTTAGATCCTTAGCAGTTGGTCCCGGTGATTACTTGAGTCACTTTTGTCGAGAGGACCCCAGGGCATTTTGCTTCCTTGGTATTAGTTGACCTGATGCTTTGCAACTATCTACTTGTTTTAATATGTCTTAAAAAGTTGTATAAAGTTAGCTGTCTTGATCTTAGTGAAATCTTTCTACACTTCTTCTCTGTAGAACAAATATACTTTTACCTCACACCGTTCATCTTTTGTCCGTTTTTCATAATCCCTTGCTAGAATATCTTTCCTACCTCATTTTTCACTCTTACTCTACCTTTCAACATATCTCCTTGCCATTGTGCCATCCTCCAAACCCTAAGTAAATGGGTGTGTCCTGCTCACTAGTCCCTGAACTGTACTCTCGGGTGTGTAAACCAATAGTATCAGTAGCCTATTTTCACATGTTTACAAAGTCTGTTTTGTAGATTTGTACAAGGAGAGACTAAAAACACCACAATTGTTTGAATTTTAAAACTTTATTACAGCAAAAGACATATTATCATTAATCCCCCTTGAAATACTTTATCTAACTTTAAACAAACTTATCCCATCATTGTTGCCACTTTCTGAAGCAGTTCTGGAAGTCCTCTTTTATAAGCATATTTACAGATGTTGTTAAAAAAATATATAGTAAATGATGCTGCCAAGAGACATCTAATAGAAAGGCAAGCTCCTGAAAACATTATGGTGTGCCACCACCCACTGTATTCATCACATTTGGCATCATACAACTTCTGTATTAAAATAGTTGTATCCAGTCCTACTTATTGTGTTTATACCCAGTGAAGTGTGCATATACAGAGATTTCTACAGAACTCTACAAAATATGTATGATATTGTTGAGAATATATTCCTTTTAAAATAAGTAAACAATCTGTGAATTTTTCTGAGACCTCCTTTTTCACATTCTATTTTGAAAGAAATAATTGATAACATTTATAAAGAACAATGTAAGATTATAAAAATTGTAAAGTATGTCTTTATTAATAGATCTAATTTTCTGTTAATGCTTGCATATTGTAGTCAGTAAAACTGAAAGTCTTCTATGTTTTATTTCTGGGATGGTAACATATTTGTGCTTGTAAACTAGCAGTTACAAAAAATATTCCTAACCAAAAAATTATTTGACTGTAGTGTGTAATGTCAGGCTAAAAGTATAATCTGAAATATTGAAAAGAGGAGTCATAGAAATTAACTTTAAAAACTCCTTCCTCCTAAAAACATTTTTAATATTTTTAAACATGTTTCATTGCTTATATTGTAAGATTTACTTTATTAAGTGAAAATAAAAATCAGGGTTAACACTTACTGAAGAGTAAGTTTCAGTATGAGCCATGGAATATATTATATTTACAGGAAGAATTTTGAGTAAGGGTAAAGAAATATTTTACAAGTAGGAAAAAAAATGGGAATCTATAAAAGGCACCATCTATAAAAGCCATCCTTAAAATTCTTAAACTTAAATCTTGAAGTCTACACTAGACTAAACACGTGTATTTTAAAACCTCTATATATTACAAATATTTGCTATCTGTTAGCATGTGGACATTTGATACATTAATCAGGAAAGATTTGTGCTATGCTTCAGTGTTAAATTGTAAAACTATATTACAAAGGAAAAGATAGTGTTTCAATTAAACAAGATTTTAGTCTCTATTTTCAAAGTAGTTAAAACAATATCATAAACTGACAATGGGAACGCTTTGGGTTTAGTCTTCCTGAACTATGTGAAAATGCACCATAAATTTGTTATTATATAAAAATTTTGCTTTGGTCTACTAAAATCTATACAGCTTTCTTTGTCCAACAAGCATTTTCTATTCATGATTTATAATACATACCTTTATATGCCTCTCCATATATCTGTACATATATTCATGTAAGTGTTCATATCCTCCACATATAGAGGAGAATTATTTCATTCTTATCACTTTCAAGTTTGTTTCACTTTTAATTTCTATTTCAGGCTGCTGATATAACCTATTTAATTGAACGATTTATATGTATACCAACAATATCTGAGTAAAAATTCATTTGATATTTATTATCAGATTGAAATTCCTTGTCTTCCACAAATACTGGACACTAACTTACTCTTTTTTTTCAGTTCTTAATGATAATAGCCTTACAAAGAAACTACATTGAAAATAAGCCTAATCCACTAATGAGAATATATTTAATATTCATTTTAGATGCTGATAAAGAATACTTCATGCACAGTGAATTCATCAGGCATTTTGCTTTCTTAAGGCTGTTCTCCATTTTCCAGCAAAGAACCAAAATTTCACCATTTTAAATTTGGAACAGAAAAGCATTTGTAACAGCTGTAGTTCTTAATTTGACATCGAGTTACAGGTCATGTTCGTGTAAATAGAAAACAATAGAAACATGCTTACAATTTTCATAAAGGAAGTGTTTACTTCAACTTTATCATTTTCCTCTGGCAATTTTATTTCTCTCTCTGAGATTAAAGGAGCCAATATTCACAGTTATTATTTTTCACTTTTATAAAAACTTGTTAGTTCCACTCTATTACTACAAAGCACCCAGCGCCTTCTATATTTCTGTCATACACACTATCCATTAGTGTTCCTAGTTCATCCTTTCCTTAATCTGGGCTAGGTTAGACAGGTCAGACTTTCTATTTCTTTCTATAATACATTTTCTCCAGGTTTTGCAACCTCTTTTTTCTTCCTTAAAATAAATAAATAAACTAGGAGGTGAAAATTTGGGATTGTTCCATTGAAATCAACTGATGCAATTTTAAATTTTGGCCTATGTTGCTTTGAAGATGTCCAAATGTATTACCAACTGTGGCTTTATAGCTATTACAAACTGTAATCCTGTGCTTTTTCTAATAAATAAGTATTTTATTTCACTTTTTCTCTGTTCCAGAAAAGAAAGGCCACCTACTTTATGCTTAAGCATAAATACACTTACTTGCATGTATTTTATGATCTGTAATTTTCAAGTAAATCTCACTGGGGAGAAATCTTACTTTTGTGTACTTCTTTTTTTAAATGTTGATTTATGCAGATTAAATGGGAGGTTATTTTGTAGGTAGTCATTTCCATTTTTTTCTTCTTTTAGAGATTGAAATTAAAAATCAGATAATCTTTCATACATTTTATTTTTTGGATCTTCTGATCATACCTACAAGTCAGGCAGTCTTTTGACTTCCTTCTCTGTTCTTGTCACTGCAGTATTTGAGATCATCCTGGGTGGAGGGGGTGACATGGGGGGTGGATTGCTCATATGTGCCTCATTTGCTTTTCAGCAGAGATTCATCTGTGCTCCTGTTTTTTTTCTGTCCCAGTGACATGACAAGAACAGTGGAGATTTCTGGGGAGGGAAGCCCCTTAGGAATACACGTAGTGCCCTTCTTTTCATCTCTGAGTGGAAGGTAAGAGGTTTTTCTTGTTTCAGAAATGCATATTAATGAAAACCTCAATAGGTCTGTTTTCTTAATCATTTTTTTCAGAAGACAATTAAGCCTGAATTCCTATTATTCAGATGGACACCACAAGAAATACTTATGTCGGCCTTTTCTGTGTGTGCAACAAAATAAAATCATGCACTTCTAGGATTCAATGAAAAAATATTCCTCAGAATTCTCCATTCACAATTAATTATGATATTTTTTCTTAAGGTATCCTTGTAGGTGACACAGTAAATAGTATCATTGGAAAAGATTGTACCCTATTAGACAAATATCGTTACTAAATTTTTAATGTTACAAAATGCATGTTAGCAAATGAAGATAATTCCAGATTGATATTTCCTCATATTATTCAATATGTACTCCATATAGAACTAAGAGCAGTAAACAGTCAACATTATAGTAGCTATATAAGAAACCATATATTTAAATACTGAAACATAAAGTGTTATATAATTATATATAATTTTATATATAATCTATAGAAGGAAAATGTCATGCTGGGGTTTTTTCTAAAGTAAACTTGGGCTGTTAAAAATAATTTACCACATTATTTTGGAATTTTAGAGGCTATATATTGCTAAATCTACACTGGATGGTAGGCATGTGCCACCATGTCTGGCTAAAATGACTGTCTTTAACCCTAGATTGCTATTGACAAGCATTGTCAGAAACTTAAACAAAAATTAGTTTCTCCCTCATGTGACCAGACTTTAATTAATTTGCTGAACTTAGTAAATACATCACTGAAAAAGTAGAATGCTTTCTTTTAGCTTAGGATATCAAAGACCATGAAAGTCCATTGAGTTTCCCAGTGTAGCACAAAACCCAGACCTTCTGATTTATCTGCGTTCCATTGCTTTTTCTAGAACCAAAGGTTTTCACAGGTTGAATCGTGTTAATTTCCTGGGTTTGAGTATTTATTTAGTTTGGTCTGCCCTAGAGCAAGAAGAGCAGATTTGGTCCTGGTATTTTGGTGGGCATCATGTTCAGCAGGTAGCCATCTGCTATCTGTAATTGCAAAGTCATTACCTTTTTGCTTTTGGCAAATAACATCTGATGGCAGGCTCTTGCTGGAATGAATGTTATCTAAAAAGAAATGAAATGAAAAGCTAGCAGCTCATATTGTCTGTTTTCCTGTGTGTGTTAATAAGCACATTTATAAGTGTTATAGGTTAAAGCACAGGACAAACCAAGGTTGTTTTTGATAGACAGGGTATTTATTCAGTTATTCTGAGAAATTCTAATGGCTTTTGGCAGGAATGTACTGAGAAAGCTTTGTGAAATACCAGAGAGGTTCAATTACCAGGTCCTTTAGTTCAATGAAGCTGGAATAGAACATGAGATCTTCCCAATTTCCAAAGATGAGAAAATGTACAATGTGACAGTCACTGTATTTCATTTTCAGTAGTTTAGAAAACAACTTGGCCCTATTGATGAGAAATCACCTTCTCTTACTTCAAATAGGGTAACATGCTAGAATTTATTGACTTCCTCCCTTCTCTTTTCTGATTCTCATTCTAACATAAACCTGGTAGAATAGTACAGAGAATATTGGATCTGGAGTTAGAATTGTAATTAATCCCAGTGTTCATTTTAAATAATTTTCAGTAAGTCCCCTTAATTCGTCTCTTGTGAATACCTACTTCACATCAAGGTTATGGGGATTAAATGACATTAAAAATGTGCAGCTCGCTGTAAAATTCACCATGTACAATGTATAAAATATTGGTATTATTATCCTTCGGGCTAAAACAAAAAAGCCTGATTCAGAAAGTAAGTTTTAAGTTCATGGTCAACTGTTCAGTATCTTCAAGAAATAGTTTTATTTATTTATTTTTTGGCTATTCAGTAGTATTATACAAAGGAAATTTAATTTAAAAACATTAAAAATAATATGGAAGTGGAGACATGAGCCAATAAAAGTAATGAATACAGGCTGAAACAGCACACTTAACTCAACCCATGTGTCGAGGTGCAACTGCCCATGCAGCATGTCAGACAAGTTTCTGACTTCAGAATGCCATATGGTTTCACTATGTGAGCATGAGGGCTTAGTTAAGGTCATGGTGGTAGTCTTAGCTCTTAATTTCCTTCCATTTATTGCTTTGTATTATTTAAATTAGACTTTACATTTAATTCTTTATTAAGACTACTGTAATTGGCTTTACCTTCAATGTATTTTTTTCTTGTATAAAAATACTGCCACACCTGTTCTTGAATAAGAAACCTAATCTAAGTTATAACATGCTAAGAAAAATATAGTGGCTGACATACCAGATAATGTCTCCATGAATTCATTATACACCTTAGCACAGGGGTAATGCATGCTACTTGTATTGAGGGCCAGTTCCTTTCCCAGTGAAAATAAAACAAAACACTAAGTTCTTAACAAGGTAAATAAAATTCATTTGTTTAACAAATATCAATGTGAGCTTTTAGAATTAAAAATGTGAAATGTTTTTTCAGTAAAGATAACATACTATGCCTTGGTTTCATTCCAGTGGCAGCTAAACACAAGAGAGGAGAAGAATGGGTTCAGGGAGAGGTATACAGAACATGAGGAGATGTTTGTACAAACACACTAAGCTGGCAGGATGCCCAGGCATAGGGGCTAACAAGAGGGTAAGAAAGAGGCAAGGAGAAGTTCTTGGTGCCTAAATGATTATTAGATGAGGAAGAAGCAATTGTTACTCTCTTATTCTGCGGGGCTGTGGATTTCATCGTCCTTTATCACTGCTCATTAATGCAAATTAACTAGTTAGTCGCAGCCTATAATTCCTCAGAAGCATTAATCTTTAAATCCTGTGAGTCTTGGTCCCAAATGGGACAGCTACCACAGCCCACCAATTTGTGGCAACAACAATGATGGATAATGAGATACTATTTTCCACGCTTCTCATAGTGGTCAGAGGATGTCATACAAAAGGGAATCTACCCCATCCGTGGAACAGAGGGCAGGAGTGGTTTGTTGTCAGGGACCAAACTAATGATGTCAGTCAGTTTCACATTTTACCAAAAATGTGACACGTGGGTTTTGCAGTTGGGTTTTACAGTTTTTACAGTTGGGTTTATTCTGTCAATAATTTTTTCATGGAAAGTTAGATTATTTAGATCAGTAAGGTTCACGTAGCATACTCCAGCTGTAATATGCTAACTAAATTGCAACCCAGTGGCCTGAAAGAATTAATTCATCTCCCAAAATGTGAAATTAAATCCTAGGGAGTAACATTACATGACTGATGATGTACTGAATTAAATTAAAGGAAGACTGGAATGCCTATTTAAAAAATATCACTTATACAAACTAGTTTATAACCACATCTGAGCCTCCTAATGGAACATGTTATTGTGAATCCACCATAACAAAAATCCAAAATGTGAACTATTAAGGTATTGCCTAATTTAGAGAGAAAAAAAACACTTTTGATCTATTTATTCCTTTTTATGTGTTAAATAGCTTCACTTTTTATATCATGTTAGTAGAGTAAGGTAACACAGAGGAAGTTTGATTAATTTACTAACCTGCTAGAACTAGAAAGTAAAACACAAGACTGCACCCCACACTGGAAGCTGTGGCCCCAACCCTTCCTTGAAGTAGGTGGCATGATTTGCTCTGTTCTGCAGCAGCACACAGTGTCCATTTACTATTTTTGAAGTAGAGACAAATATCGCTGTGTGTCTAGCAATGCTATGAACTCATTAAATGAACTAAGGCCTGCAGGTGGAAGCTGTAGTCCATGGCTACTCCACACAGGAGAGCACTTCTCCTCAACTTTCATTATGGTCTGCCCTTTTCCCATGGCTGATGCTATTATTCGTGCATAAAATGTGCTCATATTTTATTTAGATTTGAAATTTAATGCAAAGAGACTATATAATAGCACCTAAGCTCCTTGACAAAAGAGAGCAACTAAACAGAAAACCAAGGGGATGGGGAGAGGGGACGGCAGTTTCTCCATACCCAGTGGACTCCTCTTAGAGGACATAGCTATCTTTCTCCCTCTGAGATACACCTACAACCCTAAAATGAGAAACAGCTAAATAGATAAAGTTCCTTTCTTGTCATTACTGGCTTAGTTGTTGTTTACTTATGTAACAGACTTGTGCATGTACAAACACACAGATACATGTACACATATACAGTCGGCCCCCAGCATCCAAAGGTTCCTTATCCATAGCAGATTCAACAAACCATGGATTGAAAATATTTGGAAGAAACAATTATATCTGTACTGAACATGTATAGACTTTTTCTTGCTGATATTGCCCAACCAGTACAGGACAACAGCTATCTATATAGCAGTACATTGTGTTAACTATTATGATCCAAGATGATTTAAAATATACAAGTAGATGTCAATCTTATGTCATTTTTCTAAGAAACTTGAGCATCCACAGATTTTGGTATACAAGGAACATTCTGAAACCAATCCTCCATGGATATCAAGGGGTGACTATATAAAAGTAATTGTTTTTATTTGTGTGTGTGTGTGTGTGTGTGTGTGACTGGAGATTGAACTCAGGGACCCTCAGCTATAGCCTCAGCTCCTTTTTATTTTTATTTTGAGACAGGGTCTCACTCCATCACTGTATTCCCAGGCTGGGCTCAAACTTGTGATTCTCTTGCCTTAGCCTCCCACGGGGTGGGGATTACAGGTATGCACCATCACTCCTGGCTTCAAGTGTCATTCCTATGGCTGTACTTTTTCTTTTCCTTTCCTTTTTTTTCCAGCCCCCTCCCCTCCTGACTCTGAGCCAGAGCTCAAAGTCCCAAAAATCCCTGGGTCTTCTCCCTGAATCCACCTCTTTGTGGTAGATATTTCAGAAAACTCTCCCCAAAGCCCAGGGGTCAAGAGGTCAGGAGTTGATGGGTGGGTGCTCCCTGCCAGCTCTGTCAGGTTGTGTACACAGGCTAGTGTGAAGGACCCACTAGATGACACTGGCCCCCATCCATTGTTGCT